TAGTCATGTACATTTATTAGCAATAGCCATTATAGTCATGTACATTTTGCTTACTTCACAAAATTGTAATTTGACATGGTTACACTGCCTTGGAAATCTTTCTTCCAAGGATTCCATTCATAAATGTGCTTGTAAAGAAGCAGCAGCTGAAGCAATATAAAATACATTAAGAAAATACCTCAATGTTTCTTTCTTGAAGTAACCCAAGGAATTGTTAATAAACCCAATAAATGAAAGTAAACTTATTTTTAAAAAAAATACACGGACACACACAAAACACAAACGATAATAAAACCTAATTAAAAGCCGGATGTCTTCCTTCTGAATAAGACATATTTTTTAAAAATCGTGATGGCTGCATTTAGGACCTATAATCCAATTTAAAAAAGTAGATTTAATTATATTTAAACATTAAATACCTTTACCCTTAGAATAAAACACTACTGAAATTAAAATTTTACTTGTAAGAAAAACAGAAAGCTCACCAAATGAGACTTGCTGCTGATTAGACAGAGATGAAAGGAAAAAGGTCTTAGTTTACAAAGTGTCAATCACTGGTATAAACCAAATTTACATCCTGTTTATGAGGTTTCCAATTAATGAATGTATGCTTTGTCAAATTCATCTCTTTTACATCTATCTTCCTAACAACATCATATACTTCTCTGACCTTGAACACCTGGCTTCTTGGAGTTTTATTCCCATTGTAGCCCATATCGATTCCATTACTGGGAGAGGATGGACCAATTCGAAAGACATGACAAAATATCCTCACAATCCTTAAAAGGCTCTTCATTTGAGCATCATAATTACTAGATATGCTGAAAATAAAAATTAAAATATGAACAGATTAGATGGAATAAAACAAATTACATCTTAAAATACTGATTTTAAAACATTTTCATTACATTTACCATCTGTTTCATAATTTAACGAGTAAAATTTCTTTCCTGCCATGATATGGGATGGAATGTTTTGTTTACCAGGAAGTTAGCAAATGTACATTATTTGGATTGCATGTGAATGATTTATTTACTTTTAAGTAACTAGAATATAACCAATGATCAAAGCATAAAATATGAAGAAAATCACCAGTATAGAACAGTATATTTATAAATTAAACTAATTCTTTAGAACTCTGAGAACATTTCACTGAGAACCAATAGTAGGAATGTTGATTATGATCTTAGGCCAACCCACAACTGAATTGTAGAGGCTGAACTCTACTATTCTATCCATAACCCCATTTTCCCTAACTCATCCCAGAATAGTAACCAATTGTTCACATACAGAACATGTACAAATTGAATAATCTTAAAGTTACTATCTGTATCAGGGTGGTTCTCCATATTATGGGTTGTCTTATGACTGTATATAAATAAGGGAAATACATCCTACTATGAAAAAGACTGATCCAATTAATACTAAACCGTATTAAATATAATATAAACTTTCTTTGACTAATCAAAAAGCTCTTCAAAATCCCAGTGCCTGGGGATTGTTCATCATCATCATGAATATCAATCATTACTCTTCCACAGAGAAACTGTAGGAGTTAGGGTAAATGTGTATTGAATCTAATGATAGATCTTAAAAAAAAACTTGTTGTTGTTTTTCAGGGGTGGTTTTATTTTGAAACCTCCAACATCAGTTATCTTGTATTACAATGGTTACACAAAAGCAGAGTAAAGAGTTGCAATGACATTTGGGCAGAATGATATGACTGCCTTTGCATAAGTTTAATAATCAAAGCTTACTCTATCTTCCTCAGTTCATTAAAATCTTCCTCTATGGTATTTTTAGGTATCCTCTAACACGAAAAACAATAATGATTAGTTATGTGGAAATAGCAAATGCCTATTGTAAGTATTCAGATATGATAAGTGAAAAATCAGAGAGTATTTTCTATTCTGGTGACAACTGAACCAAAATTTCCTGACATTTTTACTTCAACATTCATGTTGTTTTCTCATTCTAAAAATTATTAAATTGTTAAAAACAATACATAAAAACTAGCTATCAGTTACAAGTGTTAGTAAAATACAGTAACTATTGCTATCCATACTGTATTTGACTGGGATAGCTACAACACATTAGCAAAACTTTTTCTTTGTTTTACTAACTTTGAATCAAATGTGTATAGAATCATTAGTTTAACTCACACTGATTTTTACATATTTGCCTTTACAAAGTTGTTTTTAATTCTATATCATAAGATTGTTGAGACTGACAAAAGAGAAATGCAGTATGGTTGAAACTATTTCCTTCTTTTATTGTGTTGCAGCTATTGGAAAAGTTAACTCCAATGACTCTCAAATTCTTCTATGAGAAAGATGTGAATTTAATTTTCCTCTGTGAAATTACCATATATATAAATATTTGTTTTAAGTACCTGATTTAGGGAACTTCATGAGTTACCTTAAGGTAAGAAGTATTCTCTTATACAATGGAGTCTGAACATCATCAATTATTAATATAGTCTAATAGTCTAATATAAGATTATTAGACTATATTAATATTACTTTACCCAGTTTAAACTTCTTCCAATTAAGTCACTGATCTAAAAAATGTCATTTTTCACTTTCCAACCAGTGAAATATCTCTTTCATATTATACGAAAAGATCATAAAATCCAAACTTCATCACAAACTGCTCCAGCTCATCACAAAATGATAATTTCTTCCCAAGCCACCAGGTCTCAAAATAAAAGTTTAAAAATTAGTTTCCTAATTCAAAGCCCTGTCAATGTACTTACCTTTGTTAATATAAGATTATACTTTCATTCAGTATCTTACTTAGCAAATAGCTGTGAATTCTCTTTTCATTTGCACATTGGTAACTATCTTTACCTTCAATCATAAATATATAGAAAGCAAGATGACTCACTTATTTAGTGAAACACAACACTATGTGCAAAAGGGCCCTCAGTAAATATTTATTATCTTCAGCAAATATGCCTAGAATCACTTAGACAAAAAGGCTAACCATTTTTCCGAAAGTATGCTAAATAACACCTCAATTGCCGCTAATTAATATGTATTTGAATTATTTTCTTAACTAAAATATCTATTAAAATAAGTGGCCAAAATTACATCACATTGTGGGTTAAGAAACATAAAATGATTGACAAATGAACAAAAGGAAGACAACCTGCAAAAGTACCATTAAACTAAATTGGCAGGGGGGAATGATTTGTATTTGAGGTCCTCTTAACAATCTACTTCGGTAGCTGTGAGATAACAGAAAAATATATATGTTTTCTGCCCCCAGCCCTTTTCCTGGCACAGAGCTCCTAAAAACCCTGTAATTTCTGAAGTGATAAGTGCACTAGGAGCACCTTCTGTTCTCATATTGGGTCTCTGACCCTGGTTCCTGACACAGAGCTCCTAAATCCCTTGGAATTCCTGGGTGATAGCAGTAGCTTTTATTCTAATGAGGCAACTCTTAGTGGGCTTTTGGATGGGGGCTGGTCACCAGAAAGACCAAGCAATGATTAGAGACTTGGAATTTTCAGCCTTATCCCCCATTATCCAGAGAAGGGCTAGAAATGGAGTTAATGATCAACACACCCATGTGATGAAACCTCCATATAAAAAACAAAAATATGGGGGGTTCAGGGAGCTTCCAAGTTGACGAACACATCCACAAACAGGGAGAGTGACATTCCCCAACTCTACGGGGACAGAAGCTCCTGTACTATGGACCCTCTCAGACCTCATCCTATGTATCTATTCATCTGGTTGTTCATCAATATCCTTTATCATATTCTTTAAAAAACTGGTAAACAAAAGTAAGTGTTTCCCTGAATTCTGTGACCTGCTCTAGGAAATAACTGAATCCAAAGGGGAGGAGGTCATGAAAACCTCTGATCTGTAGTCAGGTAACAAAAGTTGTGGGTAATCTGGGGATCCACTAATTCCAAGTGGCATCTGTGGTGGGGGACAGTCTCCTAGAACTGAGCCCTTAACCTGTGGGATCTAATGCCATCTCTAGGCAGAATTGAGGTAACTGTAGGACACCCGGCTGGTGTTAAAGGATTGCTTGGTGTGGGGAATAAAAACTCCCACCTCTGGTTTCCAAAGTATTGTGGGTGTGGTAGTAGTGTGAGAGTAAATGAGTGTGGATGTGGTAGTAGTGTGAGAGTAAAGGAGAAACGCAGCAGGAAGACTAGGTTTTGCTAAGATGGTACCAATACAGTAAATTCTAACACAATACTAATAACCAATACTGGTTACCAATCCCAACAAAGAGATGTTTACAGACCAAATTGGCCATAATAACATACTCTATAAGACATATGAAAGGTATCATTGTAAATGGTGAGGCAGTAAGTCTAGCAAGGTAATTTTAAAACTTGTTCTGGCATGGATCCCTCTTTCCTACCCTGTTTCTCCTGTACCACTAATATCGCTGTCATTTTTAAGAGCTAAATTGGAGCCCAGGATCTGCTCTTTATCAATTAGTAAGGATGTAAATCCTGGTTCTTCTAGCCTAGCAAATCATTGAACTTCAATTTTCTTATATATAAAATGGAGATAATATCTAAATCACAAAGTCACTGTGAGGTTTAAAGGAAATAATGTATCTGAATGTTCTTTAGCTTATTAGAACCTGCTTAAGTACGTATTAAAGGTGAACTTAAAAACAGAGAAACATAAATGCTTTCTGATTATTAGGAAGAGCAGAAAATAGGGCAGAGATTTAAGTAGAAAAAACAAGTTTTCTAATGTAGGAAAACAGGTTAAGGTATTATGAGGAATTTAAAAAAGAACCATCATTATCACCAGCATCATCATCATCTCTACTACATGCCAGACATAATGGTTGGCACTAGGCTTACAGAACCTTATCATTTCATTCTTACAACAATTCATTAAGATATTTACTATCATTTTCCAAGAAGGAAATAAAATCCTTACTAGACTGTAAATTAAGTGTAGGGTGAGATCTTGTCTGTTTTACTCACTGTTATCTAGCAGATGGCCTAGTGGATAGCAGGCACTCAAAAATATGTATTGGATAGATGGATGGATGATGAAAGGAAACTCCGAAAAGTTACTTGCTGGGGTCACACAGTAAATGGTGATGTCTGGATTAAATCTGAGTCTAGCTGACTCCAGAGCCCATGCTTTTTACTCAGTATGTCTTAGAAAGTCCTCATCATATAAATGGATTAACAGAAATGGCTAATAAAAGGAGAGCATTATGTAAAGCTGGAATTCAATGAATCTTATAGACAAAGTTTAAAGTAGCCTCAAAAGTAGAAAGAGAATAATAGAAAAATTAGCAAATGGCATACTGAGTAGGACTGCTGAAGAAAGACTTAACAGCTAAAAAGACACAAGAAAGTAATCTTGGACCATGAAGTGTAAGGGGCCTTCTAAGCAAACAGTACAGAGTGTGATTCTGGTCTGAAGTATATGAAAAGTACGAAGGAAGACAGGAATAAAGGGCTAACATAATGGACTTGACAGCTGATTTACAGAAGCAGCATACAGTTGGGAGGAACAAAGTCCAGTTCCACATACAGAGGTGAGAGAAGACCACGACCTATTCTAATACTGTCAATGTATTAAAAGTTGACATGAAAAGAAAACTATTGGGTTAGCCAAAAATTTCATTTGGGTTTTTCCAGCTTACGGAAAAATCCAAACGAACTTTTTGGCAAACCCAATCAAAGGAAGAAAGCATCCATAACAGAAGTAGGCCAAATTTAAGCTAAGAAATAACACATTAACCATTTTTAAATGGCTGTTTACTCCTAACTGGGGTGACTAACCACATACAAACAAGCGGAGGTACAGGAAAATATATAAAGGCACTAACTTCATGGACTTAGTGATGAGCCATTAAAAGCACAGATTTGCAAAAAAACAAAGAACTGAACTGAGCGGGACAGTTCAGGGAGAAAACTTTATAAAGAAGCATGAGGGTATAATACTGCAAGGCTGAACAGTAGCCTATACCCAGTTTTGTAAATTACTGATCAAGATTCCTAAACTACGTTCTTGATTCTTTTTTATGAACATTTTACTTACATGACTAGTCTAAGCAATCATTTTCTAAAATTCTAGACACATAAGTCCAAATCCACTTAAGTAAGTCTCTATTTTTAGTCTCTTTAGACAGGCTGAAGTCTCCTCGGGAATAACTGATTGCCCTGATCCTTTAAAACAAAACAAACAGTGATAACTCAACAAATGTTTAGAACATCTTAACACTGACAAAAGACATCAACAAAATAATCAACAAAATACACTATTCCCAGAAAAGCCTAAAAAGTGACGAAGCTGACAGATATTGCTGCCTACCGATTTGCTTATATTGTGAAACACTTACCTCAGCAACTTATGACCATTTGTTGTGGCAACTTCAGCAAGGCTTGTTAGAATCTTTAAATACTGGTTCTCACTTTGCTGAGATAAATGCTCCAGAACTTGCCGTAACTAATTTTTTTACAAATAAAAAAATGTGATTACATAATAATCCACTAAACTTTGTCAAGAAATTAAGTACCTATTAGTTTAGTAAGTATCCCAAAGCTCAATTAGCTGAAACCAAGTCCTTTACAGTTATTTGGTCTTGCATAAAATCAAAAGCTTATAGAGAGATAAGATGACATACAGTATTTGTTCAAAATCACCCAGTGAAAAAGTATAAACAGAGAGAACAGAAATCACCAAGTTTATTTATGGAAAATTAATTCCAAACTTCTAAAAATGTAAGAAAAAAACTCTGTAATTATTCAAAGAGTAGAACTATTAACAAATACAGAGCTCAGTAAACTAGTGATTACTAATTGTAACATGATATTCCTCCTTAGATTCTTTTCCTGTACCTATGGGAAATATTCTAATTATCTTAAGGAGAGATCAAAGGCACAGAGGACAGAAGACTCATAGCGCCAAATATTAGCATAAAGTTTATTAATTCTTATATAATTCATACTTAACCTATAATGCAGATAAGCCAATTCAAATTACTTAAATATTTATAATAATAAAATCAATAAACACATTTGTAAGATGCCATATACACCAAACATGAACAAAGCTTGTTCAGGGGCTTCCCTGGTGGTGCAGTGGTTAAGAATCCTCCTGCCAGGGGCACTGGTTCAAGCCCTGGTCCGTGAAGATCCCACATGCCACGGAGCAACTAAGCCCATGTGCCGCAACTACTGAACCTGAGCTCTAGAGCCCGTGAGCCACAACTACTGAGCCTGCATGCCACAACTACTGAAGCCCACATGCCTAGAGCTTGTGGTCCACAACAAGAGAAGCCACCACAATGAGAAGCCTGTGCACCATACCAAAGAGTAGCCCCCGCTCGCCACAACTAGAGAAAGCCCACATGCAGCAACGAAGACCCAATGCAGCCAAAAATAAATTAATTAATTAAAAAAAAAAAAAAAGCCTGTTCATTTAATAGCTACCAGCACAATTACATTACCATGTTTTCTCGGAGATCTTCATTCTGTGTCATTTGAATAATTGTCTGGAAAAGCCTAGGGTGATACTGAATTAATACTTCACAAGTCTCTCCATATCCACCCTAAAAACAAGATTTAAAATTATCTAGGTTTAAAAACAAAACTCCTAAAGGAAAACATTTCTTCTATATATAAGTCTGACACCAAACACGTGGGATTTCCACACCAACCAATTCTCCAATTCTCTGTGGATACCGATTGGGTGTCCAATTTAATTCAATTATCATGCTAAATGCCTAGAGTTAGGGCAGACCACACAGTAGGGTTCCGTCCCACAAGAGTGCCCCCCACTTCAAAAGCCAATCACAAGTCCAGGTCACCCATACTTCTGACTAACCAGCTGTACGTAAGGAACTCCCTCGACCTCCTCCTCAGGTTTGATAATTTGCTAGAACAGCTCACAGAACTCAGGGAAACACTTTATTTACCATTACCTGTTTATTATAAAGGCTACAACTCAGGAACAGGCAAATGGAAAAGATGCATAGGGTAAAGTGTGTGGGAAGGGGCACAGAGCTTCCATGCCCTCACTGGGCATGCCACCCTCCCAGCACTTTGATGTGTTCACCAACCCAGAAGCTCTCTGAGAACCACACTGTTTAGGGTTTTTATGAAAGTTCCATTACACAGGCCTGAATGACTAAACTCAGTCTCTAGCCCCTGACTCCTCCCCGGGGGTGGGGGAGGAAATTGCCTTCTAATTACATGGTTGGCTCACCTGTCAACCAGCCCTGTTCCTGAAGCTACCTAGGGCCTTTCAGCCACCGCTCATCTCATTAATATACAAAAAGACATGCTTATCACTCTGGAGATTCCAAGGGTCTTAGAAGCTCTTGTGTTAGGAACTGGGATAAAGACCAATATATATTTCTTATACTATCACAGTTCCTTTTAAAGATCATATTCTTAACAGAATAAAAATCTTTGCACCCATCCTCTCATTTGAGGAAAAAAAGTGATCTTGTCGGTTTCTCTTACAAAGTAAGGGACTAAGAATATACGTGAACAGCGTACCTGCACACATAAATCCAAAGGGCTTACTCCATTTTTATCTGGCAGATATTTGGCTCCTCGCAACAGAAGAATCTGTGCTGTGTCTCTCTGACCATGACTGTACAGAAACAAAGTTTAAACATATAATCTTTTTAATTTTAAGTCTTTCTCTATAAATTATGGACAGTTAGCATCAATCAACAGAGGATTAATAATCTTAAAAAATTGAGAGGAAGATCTGAACTACAACCTCAACCGTTAGAAAAACTTCCCAACGTTAAGTCATACTTTTTACAATGTAGATAAGAAACTGGCCTACTGAATCTTAGAATTGAACTTGGGACACATTACCTACAATAAATCATAATATTTTGGGATAAGTTGCTGGTACTCAGGCTTATGCTTTATTTTTTTCTTCCAATCTTTTCCTTCTCAACTCTAGCCTGACCACCTCCCTACACATACATCCAAGTCTCCAGACTTCTTAGTCCAAAAGAACCTCAATACTCAAAACAAAAGTACATTTTATGACACTTTAATATGTGGTAAAAAAATAAAAACAAAGGAAGGAGAAAAGACAAATATCAAAATGAGTAAATGGGGGGGATTCATTAGCCAAAAATACTAACTAACTGCCAACCTTCATTTTATCCACCCACTCAGTTTGGCTTCTGCTGACAGCTATTCAATCTGACATGGAATGAACAACTCTCATCCACATGCCGCATTCTCTCTAATTGTTCTTTCAAGTAGGTTTAACAACCACTCTTTAAGCTAGGAGGAAGCTGCTTTGGGGGTAATAATAACTAGACTCTACATTTCGTTATTAAATGAGCTAATCTGATCCTAGACAGACAATAAATAATAAATTTATAATGCAGGGACATTAAAGTTTAAAGCTAATTTTACAAAATGCCCAAGGAAGTCATACAGTTTGGAAGAGTATCTCATCAAAGAATTTTATTTTGTAAATTGATACAGCCACTATGGAGAACAGTATGGAGGTTCCTTAAAAAACTAAAAATAGAACTACCACAGCAATCCCACTACTGGGCATATACCTAGAGAAAACCATAATGCAAAACGACACATGTACCCCAATGTTCATTGCAGCACTATTTACAATAGCCAGGACATGGAAGCAACCTAAATGTCCATCAACAGAAGAATGGATAAAGAAGATGTGGTATGTATATACAATGGAATATTACTCAGCCATAAAAAGGAATGAAATTGGGTCATTTGCAGAGACGTGGATGGACCTAGAGACTGACATACAGAGTGAAGTAAGTCAGAAAGAAAAACAAATATCGTATATTAACGCATATATGTAGAATCTAGAGAAATGGTGTAGATGATCTTATTTGCAAAGCAGAAATAGAGACACAGACATAGAGAACAAACGTATGGACACCAAGGTGGGGAAGCAGGGAGGTGGGATGAATTGAGAGATTGGGAGTGACATAATACACTATTGATACTGTGTATAAAATAGATAACTAATGAGAACCTACTGTATAGCTCAGGGAACTCTACTCAATGCTCTGTGGTGACCTACATGGGAAGGAAATCCAAAAAAGAGGGGATATATGTACACGTATAGCTGATTCATTTTGCTATACAGTAGAAACTAACACAACGTTGTAAAGCAAATACATTCCAGTAAAAATTAATTTAAGAAAAAGAATTTTATTTTGTAGATGAAAAAAATTACTATTCAAGCACAAGTGAAACTAGAACTCAGATCTCTGGTCTTCTAGACCAATACTCTTCCCACAGTACCATTACCTAAAAAGGTATGTTATTTCACAAAGACTACACAGATTCCTCAGAAACTTAAAACAAACAAATAAAAACAACCTATTCTTTCTTTTCCACAAAATGACGCTGCATAAAGTATAATTGGACTTAATTTAAAAAAACAGGATCATACTAGGAAGCTGGTGGCAGGCATTAGGTATATCACTCTCTTGATACTTTACTGTAATACTGATTACCTTCCTTAATACAAATATCGACAGACGAAAACTAACTTAAGAACAATATCTAATTTACTCCAGAAAAAGCAGAAAATCAAGAAAGCAAGTACATCAGCAATCCCTCCAAAAGCAACAGTAACTAATTTTACTAGTCTACATTAAGAAAATTCTTCATCAATCATCATTTGTCATTTGTCAGCTGGGCATGCTGGCCAACACATTATATATTACAGCTAATAGGAATTACTTTATAATTAACACTGTTCTATTCTGTATAATACCTAAGTGAAAAGAAACTAACTTGAGCTTAATTTATTTAAGGAGTCAGTGATTTCTTTCCGAGGACCCAAGGTTCTGAGAAACCCAGATTTGCAAAGCTATTCTGCTCAACTTTAATGACATTTCTTTTACAGTTATTATCTGTGTTAGATGTGTTTAATCTTTCCAACTAAACTATAAACTTCTTGACAATACCCTTGTTCTATAACACCAAGCATGGCTTATAACATGTACTCAATATACTTGTTGAGTTGAGGGCTTTAATTTTAGATACCATTCATCTGACAAGTAAGCATTAAATAAGGTACTAAGCTACACAAAAATAACAAAAAGACCCAAATCGTTATTTAGGATTAATTTTGTACCACATATAGCAACAAGAATAATTAATATCAAGAAAAAAATACCACTATGACATCTTTAGAAAGCTGGAGTAATTTCTAAAACTACATTAAAATCTCATCTGTGAACAGGTGGCATTTCATTTCAAAAATAAATTAAAAGAAATGATTGCTAATAATATATAAAATCTGCATAACTTCATTAGGGGCTCAAGTGCCCCATGTGTAATATTGCAAAAGGTAAAGATTATCCTGTTACAGACTGCTCAAAGTGTCGCATGAAAGACTTTTCAGTTCAAATAACTGCAAAAATTTGCTCAATGAATAAGTATTCTTTACAATTGAACTTATTTTTTTTATATTGATTGAGATAATACTCCCTTCAAGGAAATGCCAGTGTATTTTCTGGAAACTAAGAAGTTGGCAAAGATTTAACTAATAAGAAACGTGCAGTGCTTCTAAAGCACTTAGAACTGATTTCTCAAGCACTTTCAAGTCTCCTAACTTCAGGCTTTGCAGTGATACAATTTGAAAATTTGGCTAACAGTGCATATGTACTATATATATAACAACATTTTTTGGAGCTGCTTATGAAACAAAGAGGCCATATTTTCTAATGGTCCTTTTCTATTCTAAAAGTTTGCAATTTTGAATCTATGGACTGTTTCACGTGGCTACTTTGTGAGTTTCCTAATTGAAAGGAGTTGCTTAGCAGTAGCTGCAAACTATGTTCAGAATCTTACCTGTTTCTCACTTTATTACAGACCTCCAAAATTCCATAAAAATCTCACTAATTTACTGTATCTTTATAACCCCAGCTAAACCTTGCTTTCCTTTACAGAATAAAAGTTTTCTGCAGATACAGAAAATATTTGAAAATCATTATACATCCAAACCTTTATTTGAGGAACCCAGTTAAGGGAATGGGAAGTATTATGACGAATATAAAACCAATCTAATCATTTAAGGACCTGAAGCATTTGCAGATACCACATAAAAGTCCTGAAAACAAAGGCACCTGAATGGGCGGGGGGGGGTCAATATATGTGTGCCTATAGTCCACATGAAAGAAAGCTAGTGAATTAGAATGTCTTGTACAAAATACCTAGAGAGGAAAAGTGGCTGGGAAATAGTTCCTGTCATAATTTTAGGTCAAAATCAATCTGAAATGACTCACTCACAGAAGCATTACTTTATTAAATAGTGCTCAGAATTAGAACAGAATACAAAGGAAAAAAGAAAAGGCCTGCCTGTATGATGGGATAAGAGTCAAATTTCTTAGAAAACCATGCATTGCAATGAAATTGAAAGAGGACAATACAACTTTGCGCTCACTGGGTGTGGAAAAGTGTACTAGAGCTTAGTGAGCACCTACCAACTACTAAGTATAAAATCCTCTGCAGGATGCTTTATATAAGCCACCTCATTTAATTATCACTGTAGTCCCACAAGGCAGATATCAGCATTTCCACTTTACAAAGAAACAAAGCTTCAGAGGTCAAGAAACTTGACTAAAGTTGCATAGCTTTGGGGATGGGATTTGAACCCTGCCTCCTATATATTTCAATACAGTTTCGATTTAAAGAAACAGTTTTAGCAGTTAATCACTGAATTAGACATATGACATATCTAGTAACATCCCTCAACAATAAAAATTTACATTAAGTTCAGCTTTATATCTTAGAGCCCTGTAACTTGTCTGCAGGATCAACTTGTTCTATTTCTCACATTCCTTTCCCTTTCATTTATCAGAGACAATACATTGGGAATAATTTATAATTTTTAATGTATACCTCTATCTAGATATCATGAATATAATTAGAAGTCTGCCTATAAAATGAACCATGTTCCATATTTATCATCCTGCAACAATGAAGAATTTATATTCTAGTTTCAATTTTAATCATATTTGCTTAGCCATCTCCGTTCAAAGAGAGCTAATGTTTGCTAGATAAAAACTTAATGATGGCTATACAGTACTAGCAGAAAGTACTTCTAAAAAATTCTTTTACCATAACCCTATGCTCAGACTAACTATACAAATATCACAGTTATGTGAACACTAATATATACCTATATTTTACCAGTATACATGGCATTATTTTATATATTTTTATATATTTTTCAAAAACGTAACTATAGTGATTCACTCATTCAAAAACATTTACTAAGCATCTAAGCACAAAGCACTATACTACACATGGAATATAAAGTGATGAATAAAACAAAATTCTTGCTTTCATTGGGCTTTCAGTCTAGCAGGGGAGACACACTATAAACAAGTACATAAACACTATAAAGTACAAAGTGCTACAAAAGAAATGATCATGATACTGTGATAGGAAATATGGGGAGAGGCCTACCTAGATTGATCAGGAATTCTTTCCTAAAAAGTAACAGTGAAGCACTGACATGGAGGCAGCCACATAAAAACCCTACGGAAGAAGGTTTCAGGCAAAATAAATAGAACATAGAAAAGCCTGCTGGAAAGAGTCTGATGTATTGGGGGAACTCAAAGAGAACCAACGTGGCCGAAGCACAGTGAGCTAAGCAGGGTCAGACCATGCAGGTCACATGGAAGAAGGCAGAGTTTGGATTTCATTGGAAATGCAACAAAGAGGCACTGAAAAGTTTAAAAACAAGGTTTAAGCACAAAGTGACAACAGCCAGTTCATTTTTTAGAAGGTCACTTTGGCTTCTGAGGAAAGAACAGAAGGGAGGGAAACAACAGAGGAATCTGGAAGACCAGTTAAGAGACTACTGCAGTATTTTAGACAAGAAGTAAAAAATTTAAGGTGGTTTAGTGAGGTGGAGAGCAGTAATGAGATTCAGAATGTATTCAGAAAGTGGAATTTACAGAACTTACTAATATATTCCAAGTTGAGGGTCAGAGAGAGAGACAGAAATAAAAAATAATGACCTAGTTTCTGGTTTACACAACTGAGAAGATAAGGGTTCCAATGACTGAGATGAGAAAAACTGGAGGAAAGGTTTGAAAAGGAAATCAGAAGCTATATTTTGGACATGCTAATATCTGAGATTCCATGAGACTTGCAAGTGATGATGTATATCAGGTCGATGGACATTCAAATCTGAAGCTTCAAAGAAACGTCTGATCTAAAGATAACCCCTCAAGACAGGATATGATTTCAGGGAATCAAACAATGATATTATTCATAAATTCAGGACACTAAAAAAGGAATTTGTGTTCTAGCCAAGCAATCAAATTGTAAGTATAACATAAGAAAAAGCCTGGATTCAGGTAAGATCGAGAAGTCTAGAGGTCCAAAAGTCCTTGTATTGTAATTCAAGGCTGTTCAATGATGATTTGAATCAGTCAGACCAAAGCAACATCAGAGACCCTAGAGAAAAGCTAAACGAGAAGAAAAGCAGATCTTTCATTTTAAACAAAGCTCCAGGGAATTCCCTGGCAGTCCAGTGGTTAGGACTCAGCACTTTTCAATGTCAGGGCCCAGGTTTGACCCCTGGTCAGGGAACTAAAATCCCACAAGCCACATGGTGAGGCCAAAAAAAATAATAAAAATTAAACATAAAACAAGGGCTTCCCTGGTGGCGCAGTGGTTGAGAGTCCGCCTGCCAATGCAGGGGACACGGGTTCATGCCCCGGTCCGGGAGGATCCCGTGTGCCGCGGAGCGGCGGGGCCCATGAACCATGGCCGCTGAGCCTGTGCGTCCGGAGCCTGTGCTCCGCAACGGGAGAGGCCACAACAGTGAGAGGCCCGCATATGGCAAAAAAAAAAAAAAAAAAAACATAAAACAAAGCTCCAGTAAAATGACATAAAACAGGAAAAAGGATAAGAAAAGAGGAGCTTTCTGGAGAGCTTTATATCTAAAATAGAGCCTAAATAAATACTACAATTCCTGTAATCTAAACCAAAAAGAAAAATCAAGTGTATTGTGAACTGCTCCTAATTGCAACTAAATTTACATAACATATTATGGGGGCGGGCCGGGTATGTGTACAATTATTACACTGTTAGCTCCTTAAGGACTGGGGTTTATTTATTACTGTATCACTAATGCCTATAATAATGCATGGCACACAGTGAATGCTAACTAAATGCTTATTACATGAATGAATCAATGAACAAAACATATGCTTTAGGAAAATGAACCAGAAAAAAAGAAAATGAATCAGGAAAGAGTATTAAAAACAACTTAATGCATAACTCAATATCTAACAAGAATGATTCAAGAAACTTTTTAAAGTTACAAATACAGAGAAAGCAAAGACATGGCTCTGAACTAAGGCATACTTCAATAGCTTATCCCATTGGAACTAACTTGATAAAGAAAACTATGAAAGTTACTGGATTATTGGTATGTCTTTTTTATTACTAAGTAATTCTAAAATCTAAGTAATCAAGTAACTCAAAAGCTCCCACTTACAATATATAAAAACACTGGCAATATAAAACACTTTTCATCATGCAGTTAAGTAACAGAACCATAATGCTATATACTTCATCTTAAAAGGGAGCATAGTATTTCTAGGAAAGGAGGAGTTTTAGAAAATACACACAAATGTTTGTGTTTGGAAATATAGCAGATTCAACATTCTTTAATGAGAGCATCTGGCAATATAAATTATCATACCTGCAAGCAAAGTACAATGGAGTGGCTCCTGATACATTCGGCCTGTTAATATCAGCACCACTGTCTAGCAAGCATTGCACTGTCTGGGGGAAAAAGAAACAAAAGTAAAGCCAGAGAAGTTGAACAAAGACACAGTTATCACAATTTTAGTCCATATAAGGAAAGTTCTCACCACAACCTGAAGCTTTAAAAAAGAAAGAATAGGAACATGCCAATTATGACGGCTGAACAAATTCCACTTTTTGGTAAGCTCTGAGCCTCAGACGCTACACAGTATATGTGGAATTATCAATGTAATGTAAATTGTGTTAACCTGGGAAGGTTCTAGAAAACCACTGACATGTGTAGTAGCTACCAAAGGACTTGAAATGTGGCTAGTACAACTGAGAAACAGAATTTTAAATTTTATTTTATTATAATTAAGTTTAAATAGCCACATGTGGCAGCACTGGACAGTGCTGCTCTAGATTTCTGAATTTCATTACAAACCAGAGTTTTTTGCCTCTAAAAACAAAAAGTTGGTACCAGAGCTCTTTCTCCAAATTCAAAGAGGATAATTATTAAAGTACAAAATATTAAAAAGCTAAGAAGTCCTTTTGCTACTGACAGTCACCAATACTGACTTAGTTTCTCTGATTGTCCCCTAAGCTCTACTTCTGCAATCATTTGATGTGTACTAAGGGAAGATAAGTTAATATAAAATTTTAAAAATAAATATCTTATGATTTGGGCTTCCCTGGTGGCGCAGTGGTTGAGAGTCTGCCTGCCGATGTGGGGGACACGTGTTTGTGCCCCAGTCCGGGAGGATCCCACGTGCCGCAGAGCGGCTGGGCCCGTGAGCTATGGCCGCTGAGCCTGGGCGTCCGGAGCCTGTGCTCCGCAACAGGAGAGGCCACAACAGTGAGAGGCCCGCGTACCACAAAAAAAAAAAAAAAAAAAAAAATCTGATGATTAGGAATACGGCAAGGCTTGCCTGAAAAACCTTAAAAAAGAGAATCTTTTCTGGTTTTAATTCCTATGATCTTCATTTTAGTTTCTCCTGTAAAAAGGAAGACAAGATGTAAAAACTTAAATGTTTTTGGAATTAGACTGTTTAATAATTACTTCTGGATTGAACACACATGTTCATTTTTATTGCTGCTCTAAAACCTAGTACATTGTCAGCAAAATATTAAGACTACAAACTCGAAGGAAGAACAGCAAAGAATACAACACATACTAGATAAGTCAGAAGTTTTAGGAAAATGGCAAGCAAGTGAAAGAAGAGTAACTGACTTAGCAGATCAAAGAAAGCTGAAGTCTAAGTGTCTGCAAATGCAGATTCCAACAAGAAACCACCAAATTCTCACTACCGAACACACACACGCAACACAGGAATTGGAAGTAACAGGTATCTTGGAAGACAGGGATAGTTATATAGAGCTAAGACAGGAGAAGTAGTTGAAAACCTAACAGCTGGGCCCTCCCCCAGGACCCTTCCTCCCCATCCCATACAGTTAGCCACTATCCCTCCCTATCTGTCTTGGAAGTAGGGAGGTTTATTATCTGGACAAAGTGAACAGTGAGGCTCTGGACTGGCAGACAAGAAATACAGGGAAGAGCAGGGATGAGCAGCCATGCTGAAAACAACTAATTAAGTGAAAACCTCCAGCCCCCACGCTCCACTAGGCTCCCAGAAATCCAGTAGCCAGGCTTAAAAGCTTAAGCAGGAGACTGAAGGTTTCCTCTCTGGAAAGTGGCACCAGAGAAGAGTCTGACTGATACTGGCATTACAGACACCAGTGAAACAGCCCAGTTGGCCACAAGGGGACATTCAGCAATGCTGGGAGACTTTTTTGATTTTCATTACTGGAGAAGGGAGGGTCCAGTTGGCAGCTAGTGGGTAGAGGCCAGGGTACGTCTAAACATCTGACAATCTACATACAGGCCCCACAACAAAGAATGTTCAGGCCCCAAATATCAATAGGGCCAAGATTAAAAAACCTTGATGTACAGTGAGACCAGTCAACAAACCCAGCTCATGTACACAATGCTTTCAGCCCCATTTCAGTGCCTCACCACTATACATGAATGGACAGACAATGTTTAAGACACAACTGAAGCAGGCCTCTAACCTGAAAAACAAACAGAAAAAGGAAGAAAAATAAAGACAATAAAGGGAACCAAAAAACAGCAACAAAAATTAGAAAAGTAACTGATACCCTCAGAGAGAAAAGAAAAAATACTATCCATGGGACAAAAACAAGATGCTGGGGGAAAAATATTCAGAGAATAAGATATCAAAAATATGATGGAAGAAATAAAAATTCAATAGAAGTTAGAAATACAATGTTGAAAAACTCTACAAGAAACAAAAAGACAAAGAAAACAGGAAAAATGAGAAAACTAGTAGATCAATCCAGGGAGTCATTGTAGAGATTGAGAATAAAGAAAATGAAGGAGGTGGGAGACCAAAACGAAGTAATCAAGAAATAATACCAAAAAATTTCCCAGAACTGAAGGACACAAGTTGCCAGATTGAAAAGGCTCACCAGTGTCCAGGCTAATAAATTAAAAGACCTTCAACAAGGCACATCAAAGTGAAATTTCATAATACTGGGGATATAAGATTCCAGAGATAAACAGAATTCAGATTGACATTAAACTTTTAAACAGCAACACTGAAATTTAAAAGGTGAAATGCCCTCAAAATTGTAAGGTGAATGACTTCCAATGTAGAATTCTATAGCCAACCACACTATCATTCAAATACATGCTTTTAAATAAGAAATAGGCTTAGCTATGTAAGATTTCCAAAAAAATTACCTCCAACGCACCTTTTCTCAAGAAGCTACTGGAGGATATCCTCCTCCAAACAAGGGAATACATCAAAATAGAAGATGTGGAATCTAGAATACTGAAGATCAAACACAGGAGATATCAAGAAATTCCCAGGTTTAGAGAAAAACAATGGAGTGACATTATCTAATGAATTTGTCTTTGAAGAAAACAGTACTGAAAAAGATTCTGTGGGAGCATATAGGAAGAACTACTGATTCACCAAAAAAAAAAAAAAACCTGAGCTAAGCTAATAGTCACCCTAGTAGAAAATTTTATTATAGTTCACTACTTGACTCAGCAGTAAACAATATTTACCTAACTGTATATGCAACTAATATTGTCTCATTAAAATTTATGATATAATTAATTTTAGAAATGGGGCGACAGGGCATGGGAAGAGGATTTAAATGAGTTAAACCCTCACTCACCATAACAAGAAAAGATTCAGTGATATCTAAAAGTCATAAATTGAGAAAGAGCAGTAGAAGCATATTATGTGGAAATAGATACCAGAAGAAAAGCTAAAAGAGCTGAAAATTGCCGCCTAGTGATTGTGAATTGACAAAGAAGGGTGATTTAAAGGACTATAGTTTTTTATTACAAAGATTTTGATAAAAATATTTTAAGATATAGTATTCATGTATTATTACTATTTGAATTTACTTCTATCTCAGGAGGAATTTGAAAATCTATGTAATAGAAACATTGTTACGTAAAACTTTATTATCAGCTATATAATTCTTAAACTGTGGACAAGCGGTCAAGTACTGCTCTCAAAAATATAAGAAAATAAGCATTTAGGTTATTATAAGGCAAGGCCCACTTGAGTCTTTTGATCATGGCTTTGCCCTTTTTGATATCTGACCTAGAAGTTGTGTGTATGTGGTCCCAAATCAGAAGTGAGATGGATAGCAGCAATAATTTTCACTGACTGTTACAGAAATTATATAGACAATAAGCCATCTCTCCAAAAGGCTCAGGAGAGATAAAAGCAATTATATCAAAAATACATATTAATATTCAATTAAAACCCAGCAATCCAGAGAGAAGCTGAAATAAAGTAATTATTAGCAAAACATACTATGCATTCATAAAAATTATATAATTGTTAAAAGTATATAATGATATAATAGTATGAATAACCTTAGCATGTGCCTGGATACTGTGCTAATAAGCATTTATCATTTCATTTACTGCATCCTGATGGAAGTTGATATCCTTCTCTGCACTTTCACAAGTAGGAAACTGAATCTCAAAGAGGTCAAGTAATGCGCACCCCAACACACAAATAAACAGGGGAGCGGGGATTAAAACCTAAGCCCATGGTCATAACCACTAAGCAATTTACCAAAAAACAGAAATTCTAAATTCAGAATACTAAATAGTATTCTGGCTAATTTGGCATATCTGCATAAGCTACATTAATCACAGATGATCTACTAATTCCCTACTAAATAACTATTTGAGAGTCAAGCTCAAGAGCCTAGACAGTTATTTCCGTTCAGTTTTTAAATAATGCCATTTCTAAATTCATATACTTTTTACAGTATTTCTGTATTTTTATTTATACTGTAGAGCTAACAGTAAAACAAATTAGCCATTAAACTAACACTAGACTAACATATTCCTCTACAAAGTGGTAAGACGAACTTCAGGCAAATCATAGCAAGACAGCATGATTTGTTTTAGCAAATTTCTCACCCCAAAACTCCTACACACAAATACTTCTGTGTCATATGTTTCTATCATACCCTTGTACACAGGAAATATCCTATGAATACATTAAAAATTCTGTTCTTAACAGAGAAAAACTTGATTAATAAAGTGGAAAAGCTCATTCCAGCATTTTCTTTTACGTTCATAAATCTGCTTTTCTGTTTTAACAAAATTATCTCAATTAAGATCCTCAAAATATACAACTATTAAAAGAAACATATATTTTAAAAAAGCTTTCAATAGCTCACTTGTAGATAAAATGTTGCCTGAAGTCAAAGAGGGAGAAAAACCCATTTCCCTCAGAGTAAGAAGAAAAAAAATACATAAAGGGATTTGAATGTAAAGAGTAAAAAAAATTGCCTTGCAGCACTGACATGAGTGAAAAGTCATCAATCTTTGTGATTTAAAAAAAATGTATGCAGATTTCTTTTTGTAAAATCTCTGAAACAGGAGGAGTAAGGATAACACAGAATTCAATTATTGATTAAATAGCATAATAAAAGAAGCAAGAAAGTCACATAACTTAAAAGTTTCGTTTTTTTTTTTT